TTCCAAAAGTGATCATATACAAGAAGTCATGGATAATATGGGTAACCCATATTATCCGCCGGTCAACCCGTTTTTATCCGTAATAAATATGGGTCGGGTCGAATAATTGATTCGTTTTTCATTACCCATTATCGACACGAACCATATCCGACCCGACCCACCCGTTTGCCACTCCTAATGCATATTTATTGAATTTGAGAAAATTATTTGAAATGAGTAGTAAATACTGTGGGTATAACAGGAAAAAAGAATTTGTCTTCCCTTAATATGCGTAAAATGACAAGTAAAAATGAAAATCTATTTTTAGTATATATGCCAAGTAAAAGTGAAAGGAGGGAGTAGTAAATTATTCATATATCAATCCAATAAATATATAATATATTCTTATAACTAGATAATAATGTATTTAATTAATACATACTCTCATTTTAATATGTGTCGATGTGAATATTGAATCCGAGAAAACCTTTACCTATGCAGGTTTAATTTAATCCTCAGTCTCTTCCTCTTCTCCTTTATAATACACAAATGAAATATAAAACAACAAACACATTGCCCTCAAACTATGGGTGCGTTTCCCTAAAACCCGTATGCATGTTGGTTTATCCGTACTCCAAAAAAAAAAGGAAAAATTACAACAAGCACGCATGCATGCAGAACAGAAAATGTCAGCCTTCACCCACTGAACTTATAATTTTAGGCGTGAAGAATAAATTTATATATAAAATTATAAAAATTATAATAAATGGTGGATCTAAATTTATAAATTTAAAGATAGAATAAATTCAATACTAAAAACCTTAAAAATTGAATTGATAAAATTTAAGTTTTAGATGGGCTGTAATCGCATAACACGCAAATCGAAAATCAATAGGGTTGGGACATTAAAAACAGGAAAGGCATTGAATTGAAAGTTGTAGAGTTGAAGGAAAAGGAATCGGGCATTATTAACATACCTCTCTACGTCCACGTCAATTACACGTGGTAAGGAGCCCACTTTTCACCTATTCCGTTTTATATATCTCTCTCGGTCAAAAAGGACTTATTTATCCTGTCTATATATAATAAGTATATATTATAACATTTTCATTGACCATTTCTTTCCTCCTCTCCTGCAATCTATTTTCTCATCTTCTTTTCGTTAAATCCAAGGTAAGAGACCTGATCGTTACCATCTCCCCTTCATTTTCCAGCAATTCCAGGTGATAATTATTTGCTAGCTTACATCTACAGCACGATTCATCCCTATCAAAAGAATTTTCTGATTTTCATTTTCTTACGTTTGTTTCAAAGTTGATAGCTTCCTTATGTAGACGAATCAAGATCTTGAATTAATTAGTTCAGAATGACTGATAGTTGGGTGTGCCTATAAAGTCTCACGTTGGTAGCTAAAAAGACCGGGAACCCAAATATAAGGTGTAGGGATCTCGAAAACCGGACGGGTATAGTATCTTATTTTCATTATCTAACATAGTTCGAGTAAAAAATAATTAGAGTTTTAGTTGAACTCGGTTAGATCTGCATCTTGCATTAATACCACGCTAACCTGCAGATTCCCATGTATTTCAGCTACCTCCACCTTATTATTGTCCACTTCTTACCTGCTCTGTTCTTCAAATTTTGTTTTGATCTGATTCATGAAATCTTAATTTATACATTGAGAAAAATTACAGTGCAGCTAATAGGAACTTTCTAGTTTCAATTGCTTTGAAATAAAAAGGACAGCCCGGTGTACTAAGCTCCTACTATGCGCAGGGTCCGGGAGGCCCGACTACAAGGGTCTATTATACGCAGTCTTACCCTATATTTCTGCAAGAGACTGTTTCCACTATTCGAACTCATGATCTCCTGGTCACATGGTATTAACTTTACTAGTTACGCCAAGCTGTGTCTCAATTGCTTTGAAATATGGAAACATAATCACACCTCGTTCATCTACTTTTTCGGACTTATATTTTGGGGGACTTTTTATACCGCTTAGCATTACCACTTTCCCTAGTGTCAACGTACTTTTCGATTAGAATGAATATGCATTTTCGCATTATATCTACACCAGACGACAATGCGTCTAATATAGATAGGTGAATTTAGAATTTGAAGTCTTAAAATAGTACAATTTTTTCCTTTTTTGGCATATTTATACATAGTTCGTACGAAAGCAATTGAATCTGAAGAGCTTGCTCTAGATGCGCCGGCACCTCTACCAACATACTGTTTCCTACTACATTTTCATGAAATGAACCTAAAAGATCCATTGTGCATTTTCATTCTTTCAGGTTTACCAAGAACTGAAAAAATGAGCAATGAAAACTGTGATGAGGCATCTTCACAAAGGCGTGCCCCTCGTTTGAATGAGAGGATCCTCTCATCTTTGTCCAGGAGGTCTGTTGCTGCCCATCCTTGGCACGACCTCGAGATAGGTAGCTGTACAGCGCTACATTTTTCATTATTCATAATTTCACAAATTTAGCGGCGCCCTCTGACCATTCCTTATATTTATATTGCTTTTATTTGTAGGACCTGAAGCTCCAAGCGTTTTCAATGCTGTAAGTATAGCAAAATCATTCTGTTTATTAGTTAGTCTTAATTTCGTCAAGCCTCAAATGTAAGTTCAACAGCTGTGCGGCTAACTGGAATCCCCAGCCTAGGCCTAGGCACATCTTTTTTTTAAAATTGGGAAACCAGAATTGTAACTTACATAGAATAATCTTCTGTATATGCGCAATTTTCGTACCACTCTTTACATGATGAAAGTAAGAACATCCTAACTGGTTATCCAGAACGCAAACACTTATCAGTATAGAAGTAGAAAATTGGCATTAGCACAATTTTCCATCCAATACGTCATTAATGTTCCAAACTCCTCAATTCTTGATTAATTAATTGTTAATGATAATCTTTGCCATGCGTAGGAAATTGAGAGCCTCATCTTCTTTAATCTCTTGATTATGGGGGATTTTGGTTTATTTGGACTGTTAAGTCTTTCATGTAAATAGATTAGAAAAATGAGAAAAGACTAGTTACTATATTAACTCTGTCTGTATAGAAACTCAAATGTGGTGGTGCTGTGATCTCTACAATGCATTCTTCATACAGGTCATCGAGATAACAAAGGGAAGTAAAGTCAAATACGAGCTGGACAAGAAAACTGGTCTTATTAAGGTATGACACAATGATCTAAATTAAGGTGGCTTTAAGGGATGAGGGTATTATTACCTGACAACCTTGGCTTTGGTTGAATATGTAGTAGTTTTTTTCTGATAGCAGCATTCTGAATCTCCCTTCTAAGCCTCTTCCGTGCATGAGCCAGGTTGATCGTGTCCTATATTCTTCAGTGGTTTACCCTCAGAACTATGGCTTCATTCCTCGAACACTCTGTGAAGATAACGACCCCATGGATGTATTAGTCCTCATGCAGGTATGTAAACTCGACTTGGTAAATTAATTTACAGTAAAGGGAAACAGCAAATGTTCTATTGCATTAGCGACTAGCCTACTGTACATTTCAATCAAGAAGTGTTTATAGAAGACTGATTGAACAAAATTTGCCTTATTTTCCAACAGGAACCTGTCCTGCCAGGTTGTTTCCTTCGAGCTAGGGCAATCGGGCTGATGCCTATGATTGATCAGGTGCTTTCCTATTTTATGCCACGGGGTGAAGCTAATTATTATTACTTCCTCTTTATAGAAGTGATTTGTAATGACAAATTTTCTTCATCAATTAATTCAGGGAGAGAAAGATGATAAGATCATAGCAGTGTGTGCTGATGATCCAGAATATCGCCACTACACTAACATAAACCAGCTTCCCCCTCATCGCCTGGCTGAAATTCGCCGCTTCTTTGAAGATTGTATCCTCTTATTTTAATCTTGTAATTAACTCCCGAATATGTATCTATAGAAAGTTTTCTGTGAGGAATTTCTTAACTCTATCTTCAGACAAGAAGAATGAAAACAAAGAGGTTGCTGTTGACGAGTTTCTGCCTCCAAGCACTGCTGTTGATGCCATTCAATACTCCATGTATGATTTTGTTAGCTCTGTAATGTTTTCACCGTTTTTACATTCATTTAACGTGATTTTGTTTATCTTTTTACGTTTGTACAGGGACCTGTATGCCGAATACATTTTACACACGTTGAGGAAGTAATTGATTCTCCTGCAGGTATAATAACGGAGTATCTATATATAGATACAATGGGAAGCCAAGACTGTCGCGTACCATTTAAATGATTTACTACCATATCGATTTCTTTTTCTTCTTCTTTTTCTTCTTTTCTTGGGGCTGTGATCTTATGATTTAGCAAAGGTCTTGTACTCCCCCTACTGCTCTAGAGACTAAAGTTGTGCTATTTTAATTATGTTGGCATGAATTCAGCATTGGTGTATCCTTTTCTCTGTATCTCGGAGAACTTCACTAGCAAAAATCCAGCTCTATTTCATAGTCTCCAACTTCGAACACTTGAACGTTGATATTTGCGTCATCTCATATCCATTTTGATGCTTGCTTATCAAAAAGAAAATGTAAGCTAGACTTGAACAAGTTACACTGGAATTATAACGTGAAGATTATCCGGATTAGATTATGATGGAATTATTAAGTAAAGATATTTTTTACTGATAGATGGTAGGCTCATTGAACTAAAAATAGGATATATGTGACATTTGTTTGATTTTACACAGGATAAACTTAGACAAACTTTTATTTTAAATTTTAGCATTGGCTTTCTTAAAAGACTTCTGGAAAAGGAGCACCTTTGTTATTTTGTTGATTTATCCCGAAATTGTTATCCCACATTAGAAGCAAGAAAAAATGCATAATTGGGACAAACAAATCATTGTATATCGCAATGTGACTGCGCTTGTGCAAAATGTACCTACACTCTTTACCGCATCAAACTATCAAGTTCATGAAAGATAATTAGCACAGAAAAAAGTTTTAAATGTGCACGAATAAACGATGTCAAGTTCAAGAGGTCCCAAGGTATTATGCCTTTTAAAATACTTGACAATGTTACTCGTATGTTCCTTTTCTTAAATAATTAAATGACAGTATACTCAAATGACAATACTTTACAAGGTTATAAAGCGCTCAATGAAAAAAAAAAAAAATGTCTTACCACTAATACTGCTCTCGTAATTGATCTTAAGGAGTAGGAAAACATTCACTTGTAATATTGTTAATAACAAAGAGAAATGGGAAAGAAATTAAAGTATAATAGAGTAATAAATGGACTCAAAAAGAAGTTGGTAGCAAAGCCTCAGGATCCACTCAGCTACTGTTTCATCGTTGACTAAAGAGCGCTTTGCTAATTATGCCAGTGGCATCAATATATCGATCAACACACCTGGAGATACAACTACCCTCACTGCCACTCATACTACTCCCTGGTTTTGTAATACACTTGTCAAAGCATTTCTCCCTCACTGTCTGAAACATTTAAAAAGAATTACTTTAGAAGCAAAACCGTGTCGTGAAAACCAGATCAATCTGCCCATAGTATAGTATCAATAAATAATATCGTGATCCGAGAGAGAGAGAAACAATAAATCAGTGGCATAAACAAAGTTCCGCGATCATGCTCATTAGTTAAATACTGAATCTCACCCCATATAATCTCACCAATCAATTGGCAGTTGCTGAACCACACTAGTTCACACTACCAAAAGAATAACAGAGAATCAACATAGAGCACAATGGTGAAAAACAAACTATACAAGACCAACATGGATGGCTTCACAAAAGGAGGGTTTTAGGGTAGGAATAGAAAAGCAGTTATCCAATCACCAGGCCAATTGATTTGCGCTTAACCAAATACTAGAGCATAGAGTTTGTACTTTTCCATAAGCACTTATGAGACTGTAGCAAGGGATATCATATTGTTAAATTCTTCCTATAGAATCTTAAGGTCAAAATCGGCTATCCCTCTAAAGTAGACCGGCTAAATCCCTGTGCATAAAATATCAGCGAAATTGTTGGTTTAATTAATTATTTTTTATTGAAATTCTTTGCAATGTGCTCTGTTAATTTAGTTTATATTAAAATTGTTTATTCGTGTTAAATTGATATTCTAATTTAACCCCCAAAAAATTTCTTAGCTTAGTCTATAAGGTCACTTCTTTCATCATCTGCATTAAAAGTGAAATTGTTCAGAATGTATTAGTTTTAGTTTAGCTTATATGACGTTAATTAATTCTTGTTGTTTATATTTCCAAATATTGTTTCTTTATCTTTATATTATTGTTTTTAAATTAATAAGTTGGTATTGTTTACTATTAATTATAAAAGTAAAACGTACAAAATTAAAATTGAATAGCTGAAAGTAAAATTTGATAGATTTTAATAAATTGTTAGATTTATTCATGAATTAGGAATAGAAAAGCCTGCCCACTTGTGAATCCTCAACCTATATATGCCAAATAGCTTCAAAAACAACAAAAATAGGCTATCCAAACTATTTTGAACAAAAATGAGAGCAGTGAAAGCCATCTGATACAGGGCTTTCTCCTGTAACCTGTCTTTCGATAAGAAGCGAGCTATTGGGGATCTATTCTAAGGAAGGAATGAAAGGACTGACTTTCCTCAACTAATAACATCTTAATCTACGATCTATGAATAAGAAATAGGAGCATCTATTGATTCGGATTAGTCAAAGTAGAACTAGACAGATCAAGGTGCGGAAGGCATATCGCATTTTTTTTTCCAACGATATATATATTAAAATATAATTTATCTCAAATGAACTAAGTTACCGATTGTTATGTAGTTAACTATGTATTGTAGAAATAGTACACATATCATTGGAATAACCAACAATATGCATGTAATAACCTTTTTTAAAGCCTTGTGGGACCCATAAGTTTTTAGAAGCTTTGCATCTCATGCCAGTTCAGTCTCTATTCATAATTATAATGCAGTGCATTTTTGTTGGATCTAAAACTTTTGTCCTTTTATTTGTTACAGAAACCTTGCAATTGGAATCTGTTGGCATTTAGATAATCAACAAATTATTATTGGGTGCGTTTATTTGTCGAGAAAATATGAAGAAAAGTTCTTGCTCATACTCTTTGTAGAGAGTGGATCAAATTTTAAAGTTTAATCAAATCACCAGTACCTTTGTAAACAAAAAGAAATTGGCACAGCTAACAAGTCCATTATAGCTAAAGCAACTGGACCACACCCTTCATTATCACTTCTTCCCCACAATTCACGTAATCTCACCCCTGAACTTAAACCAATTCCTGCTTCTTAATTTTTTTCCTCACATTCTGAGATCTTTAGCTCTTTTTGCTCTGTTTATGGGCTCAAAAGGTTCAAGAGGCAGCTTTTATCACTATTCGCGATTCCCGCTGATTCTACATATTTTTCCTCAAAGATTCCTTGTGATTTTAGGAAATAGAGTTTTTTTCACTTATTCGCAATTGTCAAATGGTTAAAGCAAAGGACATTTGAGAAAAACTCATTCCTAGTATTTGCTTTGGTCCATCTTAATGATGGCAAAATGGTTAAAAGAAAATAGCTATCCACTCATATTATCTATTTAAAAAATGGGTTGGATAAATAACTTTTTAAAAACGGGTCAAATATGATTAAGAATCATATTATCCACTTAGAAAATGGATAACCAATGGGTTTAACTTTTATATTTCCTAGATGCCCGGCAAGACGCGAGAAAGACCTGAAAGGCGAAAGAAGCCCTTCGATCAAATGAAAGTCTCAGCCCTAATTTAGTAAAGCCTCAAATTGAGGGTTCCTTAAGTTTGGGAGACTAGGAATTCTCCCAAAAGTGATCATATTCATGAAGTCATGGATAATATGGATATCCATATTATCCGCCATTAACTTGTTTTTTATCCTTATTAAATATGGGTCGGGTCGGATAATATATCCATTTTTTGCATTACATGTTTCTAGCCCGCCCATATCCGACCCAACTCGCCTGTTTGTCACCCCTTATCCGTCTTAGTTATACTAACAACATTATTCATGTTAAAAACAAACTGATTGCTGCGAATAGATGAATCAACCTAATAACAGGAATGAGTCCCTCAAATGGCCTTAATTCATCCATCAATTGTTAAAAGACGATGGGTCAACCATGCCAATTCGAGAGACACACTAACAACGCTAAATATAAAGAAATAGAACAACAACATACCCAGTTTATTCCCAGCAGGTGACGTCTGGGGAGGGTAGTCTATACGCAGACCTTACCGCTACCTAATGAAGGTAGAGAGGTTTCCAATAGACCCTCGGCTCGGAAAAAAGAAAATATAAAGAAATACTATAGATTAAATATTTAAATACATAAACACAAGACATTAACTAATTTAAAATATATACAAGATAAAATTAATGATTTTTAACTATAATTGAACTATATAATAACACAAGATATTTCCTTACGATAAAAATAATTACACAACAAATTAACTATGTGATAACAAATTACTTTGATTTCAAAAAACTAGGAAATTAAGTTTTTGATATAACTATATAATAAGATAAAACATTAGCTAACTTATATGAAGATATATATGATTTGTTAAATGATAACTACAAATTAGCTAATTACCCACATTAACAATATTAAATAGCTAAACCCTATACCTTAAACCCATTATCATATAATTACTCCCTCTGTTTCAAAAAGATTGGTAATATTTCATTATTAGACCATTTTAAAAAGATTGTCATCTTTCAATATTTCCTTAATAGGAAGCATTTATAGCCACATAAATGTTATGGCAGGTTTCAAACACAAGTTTCAAAAGTTTTACAGCCACACAAATGTTACGGCTTATTTAAGACCACATATCTCAAACATTTTTCTTCTTTATTAACGTTTGTACCAAATCAAACTATGACAATCTTTTTGAAACAGAGGAAGTAGTATATTGGGTTATTATGTGGTTTGATTATAATTAACTAAATCATTAATTGTCATATTATTATCTAAATTAGCTAATGTATTGTGTTATAATATTATTAAGTACTTATTTCAATTTATCATATCACACTAATTTGTTGTTATAATATAGTGTGTTCCTCCATATGCCTTAGTTGATCCTTAGACTTAGACTTATGGGTCAACCAAAACAATTTGAGGGACTCATTCTTGGTATTTGCATTGGTTGATCCACAGATCATAGATTTACTAAGGCACATTGAGGAACTTATTCCTATAATTTTCCATAGTTGATCCATAGATTCATTGACCAACCAAGGCCATTTTGAGGGACTCATTCTTATCATTTGCCTTGATTGATCGATGACCATAGATCCACCAATGTTATTTGAGGGACTCATTATGTTATTTGTCTTTGTTGATCCGTCGATCATACATCTACCAAGGTCATATGAAGGACTCATTTCCTAATAGAATTTCATCTTCTTCTTCCTCTATCAAACCCTTTCTTATAATATAAAAAATTAAGAACATTAACCAAGGTCATTTCAAGGGCGTATTCCTTTGTCTACATTTTCATTCCTTTTTTTCATTATTCCTTTTTCTACATTTTCTTTTTCTTCTTTCTTTTTTTTCTAAAATGACTAAAATCTTCTTGATATATTTTCAAATCAATCCATCACCTATTTTTCTTTTGCAAAACCCTTGCACCACTATCTCCATTTCCGATAATCATGAAGGGAAAAAACAGTATAATCACAAGGAATCGAATAGTGATAGAAACTACCTCTAAAGTTTTTAGAGCCACAAAGAGGAGCAAAAAAGTTCAAGATATTAGAATGGAGGAAAAAATCGAGATCAAAATTTTTTAAACTCAGGTGTTAGATTATGTGAGTTGTAAAAGAAAGAGTGATAGCAAAGGGTGGTCTCCAATTGCTTTTAACTGTAAAGGAACTTTTTAAACTATTGATGATAAAGATATTGATGATATAACTAAACTTTGAGAATGATCCATTCTCTACAAAGGGGTATAATGGGCTAAAACTTTTCTTCTTAGCATTTTCTATACAAACTTTCTCGACAAATAACCGCACGTTTTATTATTAAACATGTTAAAGCACTTAAATTTTATCTAGAATAGACTGATTTGACTTCAATGAATTTTTTTAGTCAATGGATTTTGGTCTTTTGGAGCTTTTACGAATGATAAAAGACATCTAATTTATAAGCTTATTTTAAAATATAAAAATATAGAATGTGTTATTCAGCCAAACTTTTACGCCCAAAATTTGAGCAAACTGTGTAAAAAATCTAATATGCCATTATTTTACTTTTGCTCCAATAACTACTCTTTTCTCTCCACTTGTTTCCCTTCAAACAATGTAGTTATTACTTCTAACCATGCTTAACAATTTTACATTGCCATCACCTAGAGCTTAACAAAAACATTTCATGCATCGTCTGCTTTAGATTCCATCCAAAAACGTTGTGTACATCTTATAATATTGTATAATTATACCTATACCTACTAGAACTATGTGACGAAACAAAGAATATATGGTTTACCAAATAAAAACTTTCCTAAAACTATAAGGTTAACCATCAATTATAGGTTGAAATATTTCTAAGTTCACCATATAGGTCTAGTAGGTGTAAACATAATGTATAGAATGTTTTGGAGAGAAACCAAAGTGGGGGGAAGCATGAAGATTTTTTGCTCAGCTCTAATTGTTGGTAAATCGTATTTATCGTTCATACTTTTAAGGTAGCTAGGAAGGAGGCGAAGATGACAGTGACGGAGGCTAAGACGACAGCTTTTGCTCGTCTGTATGAGGAACTAAGGAACAAAGGTGGGGAGAAGAAGTTATTCCGACTCGCTAAGGCGAGAGAGAGGACAACTCGGGATCTGGACCAAGTGAGATGCATAAAAGATGATGACGGTAAAGTTTTGATGGGAGATGACCAGATTAAGAGGAGGTGGCAGACCTACTTTCATAAACTTCTAAGTGAAGAAGGGGATCAGGATA